CGAAAAAAGAAAAAAAAAAAAAAAAAAAAATTACAAATATTTTCATTCATTTTGTTATCTTTTTTGCTTTGCATATAGTTTTGTTTTTCATTTTTTTTGTAATGAAAACATTTATATTTATGTTATCATATTTATTTTGATTTTTTTAAGGCGTATGATTTTATGGAAACCCCTGCAGTAAAAATACTGCTTCATATTTTGGAGGGTATTTTTTCTAATTTATTTCTACTTTATTGTAAGGTCATCTTTTGTTATTTTGTTTTCAAGGTTGCTTGATGGTTTAAAGGCCAAATGTTATTTGCCTTTTTTTTTTTGAGCCTATCAGATTAGTGAGTGATGGATGAAGAAATTCATGACATTCTTATGTTAAGTCTTCTTTTGTGAGCTTTCTAGCCCAAATTTTATTTTCCAAGTGTTACAGTAATGCTGTCCTTTAGTTGCTATTATATATATAACACTTTCCAGTTACATTATAAATTGTGAATGTAGGTAATGTATTTTATTTTGCATTATTTTATATCTTAAGGTTATTTTCCCGTACATATTCAAAGCTGAATTCTACCTATCCTTATATCGAAAGAGAAGTATGTTTTGGAATTCATTTTTTCTGCTCGATCTGAAAAGAAATTTTAAGAAACAGATTTTCCAAGCTTTTAGAAATAATGTTTCCATTCAATTATGTTGTATTGATCTGTGGAAGAATATGAAGAGCACCCCCAATTACATCAAGATCAGACATTTAGGATTTCCTGTTCCTAAAGATTGAAAAACTTGAACATGTTTTGTAAATTCAGCTTGAAACACTATTATTAGGATATATATGATACAAGTTTTGGAGGGGAGTTATTCCTATCTCAATAATAAAGTTATCCAAAAGAAAGTTTAAAAAAATGGACTGGTATATGAATGAAGTATTAATATAAAGATGAAATGATTGAATTTACTGACATTCTGGGCATTTGAATTTAAAGAAAGAAAATAAAAATCAAATAACGCAGAAGCTTTAAGTCAGTCTTTAAAAAAGTTTTTAATTATTTAAAAAGCAACTTTTGATATAAATGGAAAAATTCACTTCGATTTCATCATCCAAGCACAGTAATTATATATTTATTTGTATAGTAATGTCTTTAAGTCTTTGTCCCTATGACTAAGCATATGGAATACATTATGGATCCACAGGAACATTTTCCATTTTCATTGCCAAGACTAGTTATGCATTTCCTGAGCATCTAATATTTTTTCACCTTAAAATATTAAAATTATTTAATCTCCCTGAACCTTAGTCTCATCTGTTAAATAGGAATAATAGTAGCATCTAGTTCCTAAAGTTGTTGTGGAACATAATATACTTTCTAGAGTGTCTGGCACATGGTAAGCACTCAGTAACTTGGCTACTATTATTCAGTTAAGGTTTCTGTCTTCTGCTTTGCAGAGGCTCAACACCTGCACATGTCCACAAACTCATGTTACACATTTTACATACTGTTCTTATTTTCCTTTTGTCCTGCTTTTCTTTTGCACTTATTTTTATATTTTTATTTTATATTATATATATTTATGAAAGTCACTTTAAATTTTTCTGGAACAAAATAGGTAACAAATAAGGGGAATGCTAATTTAAATGTAAGCTATATAGTTTATAAATTATATTCCTATTAAAATAAAAAATTATTTTCCCCAAAGTTAATGACCTCTTTTTTCTCATTTCTACAGTTTTCTGTGTAGCTAATTTTTTGCATATGTTGCAATAGGTCTATGAAATGCCTATTACTTTAAAAAAAATATTCTAACATATGAGTCAAGATAGGCTGGGTTATGGTATAGTAACATACAATTGCCAGATCTTAATGGCATAACACAAGAGTATTTTTCACTCACCCTACCTTTTCAACACAGATTAGTGAGGGGACTCTGCTCATCGGATTTTCCCAGGGACCCAGGCTGATGGGGACTTTATGCCTACATGTGCTTTAATAGTTGTTGCAGCAGTGAAAAGGTAACATGGTTAATAATGCACTGGCTCTTAAAAGCATATTCCTGAAAGTGTCAGCTACCATTTTCAGTATTGACTAATACAGTTATCATGGCTATGCCTAACATTAAATGGAGGAGTAAAGTACCATCCTCCTGTGTTTCCAAAAAAGGAAAGCTACCACAGTGTACCTTCTGTTCACTAATTTTTCAGTTTGCTCTGGCTCCTGTAGGCAAAATATGCCCACTTCCCTTTCAACATCAAATAATCAAAAAGTCTCATCTAGTTTTAGCGTCAGGCCCAAAGTTAAGAATCTCTGAGTGATGCATAGTATTCTAAACATCAAGGAGGTGATGCTCAGGCATATCTTATGTAAAGCCATTTTGAAAACCAAATGAATGGCTATTTCAAGGACCCCCTACTCTAAGAGTAGAGAGATTTTTGTGAACAGTTCCTTCTGATCTCAGGGAAGAGTTTCCCAATCCATTGTTCTTCGTGGCTCTGCTTTGACCCTCTGGGATACTCTTCCTTTTCTAACATAATTTTTGGATCTGTATTTTTTAGTCTGCAGAATTTTACATCAAGATAATAAGACACTTAGTTAATCATTCCATTATTGTTAAATGTTGAGCTTGGCTCTAGTTTTTTTAATTTATTTTTTGTCATTTTAATGAAAGTGGCCTTAAATAGGTTTATAAACAGTGTTTCAAAATCATTTGTATTATCTTCCTATTATAGTTTCTTAGAGCTGGAAGGGATTGTGCAGCCCACTCAGTCCTGCTCTCTCAATTTACAGTAGGAATCTGAGGTTAAGTAATATCCCTGTGGTCACAGCTTGTAAGTGGCACAGCCACTCTGGCACCAGAGTCTGTGTGTATCTTCTTCTGCATCTCTATTGAGTTAAACCTTAATTGGCTAAGATATGGTCATTTCGTGAAGTGTTTTAAAAATTGCATTGCTTTAGTAACTTTCAAGTTTGAGCATTTTTCTATATGAAAATGTGTTAACTGATGACTTTTTCTTCCGTAGTTTGTAGTCTTTCATCTGGAAAATTTGGGACATTACTTAGTGGCTCATGGGACACCACTGCTAAAGTCTGGCTGAATGACAAATGCATGATGACCTTACAGGTACAGTATTTCTGTGTGAATATTCTGGAAAATAATGTGACAATTCTGTGACAACTTAAATTGATACCCATTTTACTCACAGGGTCATACAGCTGCGGTATGGGCAGTAAAGATCTTACCTGAACAGGGCTTAATGTTGACTGGATCAGCAGACAAAACTATTAAACTGTGGAAGGCTGGAAGATGTGAGAGGACTTTTTCAGGTAAGATCAGGGTAGATAGCTTTTATAATATCATCACTTCTTATTTGCTTAGATGGTTTTTTTCTTAAAAGTTTAGAACCTTGAAAGTGGTATTTTTGAAAGACAGTGTATTTGAGTCACTTAATTTGGGTGAATATAATTTTTCTGAGTTAAAATTTAATATATTTTTGAAAGACATAATGAGACCTCATAAAAAACTAGGTGTAGACTAATAAATAGCTGCTTGATTAACTGTAATATGTGTGTGTGCTTCTATATATATATGTTTGTAATTTTTGGTATGCAGTTATATTTTTGGTTGTTGTTTTAACATGTTCAGCCTAAAACTTCAAGAATTAGCCTTACTGATGATGGGTTAGCAATGTTCATATATGGAAGAAAGTTCATATATGGAAGTTCATTATGGAAGGAAGTGTTT